AGAGCATGAGGAGCAACTACAGGAATCATCTAGACCACGGACTCGAAGGCCACCAAGATGCAGTAATTGCAATCAAACAGGCCATAATCGGCTTAAATGCCCTAGTAAACAGTCTCCTTCTTTATATAGTCAAATTCATTAAATTTGGTTGCAAAATGCTTCAAGATTTACGGTTGTGTTGGTGGTTGAATTTTTTTCTCGGGGACCGCGCAGCTCGGTGGTCCGCGCAGCTCGGTGGTGGATTACGTTAACTAATCATTGATGACTAATCGGCGGCTGCGGAATCGGACTCCGGGGAAAGCGCCGAGGTAAACGTCGGTAATCCACTTTCAATTATTAACACTGCCTTCTTTCCTACATACATACTCATATCATTGAATTTCTTTTAATTTATTTATTACAACTTATTCTTTATTTTCAGCGGAATCACAGATATCCATTCTCACTCTTCTACCAGGTACGTCACTTGCTGCTTGTTGTGATTACATAATCCATCCATCCTTCTCCGCATCTCCACATCGAGCTGTCAGTCCTATATAAATAGTGCTATTTATATGTAGCTTTGATGTTGTTTTATTTATCTTTCAGTGATTTTCTACCTCTGATACTGTCGTGTATATCTTTGCATTGCATTTTTTGACAATTGGTCCGTTCGAATTGACCGGTGTGGCATTCCTATCACATTCTATTCTACTTGATCGTTTAATATCAATCTGACGATTCTTAGACCTAGATATATACTACCGAATTAAGACGAGAAAATGTCCGCTGAAGCGGCCGCTCAGGTACAGCTGGACCGCTTTGAGACCATCTTCTCGCTTGAGGGAAAGGTTGCCGTCGTGACAGGGGGATCGAGGGGATTGGGGCTGCATGCTGCTAGTGGGTGGGTATTCTCTTGTTTCTTTCTTTCTTTCTCTCTCTCCTTTCATTGCCATCGTGAGGAATCCTGTCTATTATTATGAGGAGGGGGATTTCTCATCCGTTGCCTCCAATCACTCTTTCTAAATATGTTCCTAAATGTATTGCTAACGATATCCAGCCTCCTCCAAGCCGGCTGCTCCAAAGTATACATCACCTCGCGCAAGGCCAAAGCCTGCGAGGAAGCCGTAGCCGCACTGAACGCGCTGCCAAACAAGCGCCCCGGCGCGCAGGCCATCGCCATCCCCGCCGACAACTCCAAGATGTCGGAACTGGACCGCCTGGTGGCCGAAGTGCGCAAGACGACGGACCACGTTGACATCCTCTTTGCCAACGCGGGCGCCACCTGGGGCGAGAAGTTCGAGACCCACCCCGAGGCGGCGTTCTCTAAGGTGATGGATCTAAATGTGAAGAGTGTGTTTTATCTTGTGCAGAAGTAGGTGCCCTATATCCCAAGTATGTTTTCTATGCAGTATGCTCAAGAGTATACCGCAGATTCCGCCCCCCTCCTCCAAGCCAAAGCGACACTGGAGGAGCCCTCCCGGGTCATCGTCACAGCCTCCGTCGCCGGCATCGGCGTCGGCACCCTCGGCCAGAACGCCACCTTCTCGTACTCAGCCTCGAAAGCGGCAGTGATCCATCTGACCAAGAACCTGGCCGTCGAGCTGGGCCCGCGGCACATCCTGTGCAACGCCATCGCGCCGGGCTTCTTCCCATCCAAGATGTCGAACGGGCTGATGGAGCTGCAGGGCGGCGTCGAGGTGCTGGCCAAGCAGTCGCCCAACGGCCGGTTAGGGAAGCCGGAGGATATTGCGGGATTGGTTGTGTTCCTGTCCAGTCGAGCGGCGTCGCATATAAACGGGGCGGTTATCACGACAGATGGAGGGAGTGTGTTGGCGAGGGGGAGGTTGTAGTTATAGAGAAGCTTGGAGAGATTGATAATATAATATATTAATCTATGACCTATTTATATGACCTATATCCCGTCTGGAAAAGAACAGTCTGATAAACATAGCACATTAATGACTATACGGTTTTTTATATTCTGTACAACATTCAAACGGAGATTAACTGTTGGTTTCATGACAACAATTCTGGAGTCCATACTTGTTCCAACATCGTCGTTTCTCTATCTCACAGAATCAGTCCGCCCGCCTGGACACTTCTGTTGTGTCATGGCTGCAGCTTTCTAATCTAACAGCTTAACAGCTATATCTATACTATACTATAAATAACATAATGGCCGAATCTGCTCTAATCTATTCACTCATTTACTTGTGTACTCACTCACTTCATCAAATCTTCGAAACGAAACCCCCCTCAGAAGTAAAAATCTCTCCAATCGTCCGCCCCGCATACAACACCCGTCGGTCATGGTACCGCGGCCCAACAATCGTCAGGCCGATGGGCAGACCATTCTTTTCGCCCGCGAAGCCAGGCACGTTGAGCGTGGGGGCGTGCAGGATTGTCCAGATGGCGCAGAAGCGCTTGTAGCAGGTTGGCAGTTAGCATGATTGCATGGCACATTACAGTGTATATGTAGGTTCTTACCTGATCACCCGTAAACTCCAGCCCGTGAGGCGCTTCGTCTGTCATGCTCGGCGCAATGACCACGTCGTACTGGCTCGCGAACTCGTCCCAGACGGGGCGCAGACGGGCGCAGCCGTCTAGGCTTTCCAGGAACTCCTTGTTGCTCAGGCGCCGCTCGTTCTCTACGTGGCTGATCAGGGATGGGTGCAGTTTGTCCTTGGAGAGGAGGTAGTCTTCAGCAGGTTAGGACATACGTATCTACGTATCTATGTACTGTAGCGTGGCAGACGTACGACCAAGAAAAGCAGACCGTGCTTCACCCGCCGTCACGTTCGCATGCCACTGCGTCAGTTTCTCGAACTCACCTGGGAGATCGACCTCTTCGACTGTGGCACCGCGCTGCGTCAGGAGCGATTTCGCTTTCTCCCACGCAGCCTGCAGTCCTGGTCCCGCGATGTCCGGCCACAGATGCGTCCTAGCAAACGCGATTCGGGCGCCATTGACCGTGAATGGTGACTCTGGAAGAGGCTCGTCGTCGGCTAGCTGGAACACGTCCGCCAGCAGATCGAGGTCCTCGACAGTGCGCGCAAAGAAGCCGGGCGTGTCGCAGGTGATGGAAAACTGGCACAGGCCTTCGCGAGAGATGGCGCCCCAGGTTGGCTGTCATTGTATTAGCTAGGTATATGTTGGGAAAACACAATGGATAGGGAAGTATATTCCAGATACATACCTTAAAGCCGTAGATTCCATTATATGACGCAGGCCTGATGGTACTCCCACCGGTCTGGGTCCCCAGGGCGAGCGGCACCTGGAAGTCAGCCACGGCGGCAGCAGAGCCAGACGATGAGCCACCAGGCGTGTGCTCAGGATGATGAGGATTCCTACACGGCCCGCCAACAGTCGTGGCAGCGAACTCCGTCGTCGCTGTCTTCCCCAGGATAAGCGCGCCAGCCGCACGGAGGACGGTGACGGTGGCAGCGTCGACAGCTGACTGGGTAGAATCGCGGTAGATGTCGGAGTTGTAGCGAGTGGGCATGTCTGTATCCCATCGTTAGATTCAATGAACAGCCATAAGATAAATAAGCCCTAGGGATAATGTATGTACTACATGTAGGTACTCACCCTGGGTAAGAGCGACATCCTTAATGCCGATGGCGACCCCATGCAGAGGCCCCCTCTTCTCCAGAGGAGTCTGATCGAGCTTCCTGGCCTGGGCGATCACCAATTCTGGGTCGAGGTATGACCACGCCTGGACGACGGGGTTTCGAGTGCGGATGCGCGCCAGCAGAGCGCGGGCGTACGCTTCGACGGTGAGATGGCCCTGTCGGAGGCGATGGAGGACTTGGGTTGCTGACAGGCGGGTGAGGTCTTCAGGCATGCTGTCGATCTGTCGATCTGTTGATCTGTTGAACTTGTTGGAGGTTCAGGAATGAAGAAATGATCCGATGGTCGATTGAATAGTATCTGCGGGTGAAAATGTGAGATCTTCCTACGCCTGAAGGACTCGATCTATACTTGATTACTTACTCGTCAGAGGCAGTAACAAGGACACATAAATAAAGCGTGTCAATGGATGGTTGGATTTGACGTATCTCAACTATTCACATCCTTCTTTTGTCATTTGTAATGCGTTGTTGAGATCGGAAGTCTCGCCGACGCCGCGGGGTTGATAACGAGATAACAGATGTGGGGACGCGACAGGACCGCATAGAATAGATTCAGTAAGAAGACACCATACCTTATTATTTATCAATGACATAGAATCACTACTATTTCATTACGACGCAATGCAGGATGACTGTCCCTGAGAAACATCATGGCATGGTCTGGACTGCTCTAGACAAAGATATCTTCTATACTACTTGAACAAGCCCTTTTCTCCGTTTCATGTACCTCCATCGAGAGCAAACATCTTGACAGAAGGACTATTTCCAACAAGGGAAGCTTCTAGTTGATGAAACTAATTCTCTTTTCTTTCATTTATTTTTCCTTTCTCCAACTCAAGCATGATGCCCTCCTCTTTTTCAGCATGGCGATTTACAGTACATATACAGTAGTTTGGCCTACATAGGTAGCTCACAGCTGCATTCTATTCTACTCGATTCATCGAATCCAATCAGTATCGACTGCTAGTGGTAGTAAAGATCGGATATGTTTCCGACTGCGCGGGGTCGGTCGATACGAGATGCGGGGGATACAGCTACAAAGAGATCATTGATTCGATAGAATAATAATTATAATTATTCTGGACTAGTATAGAAGGACTGTTGGCGTTTTTTTTTGTTTTTAAATAAAGTCTGGCATCGTGTCTCGTGTCCGAGAGTATGAACTCAACAACTACATATCTCCGCCGGATCTCCTAGTAACAACCCTCTTTCTCAATAATATTTATTTTCTTCGTTGACAACCTTGAAACCTTAACTAAAGTATATCGACCTAAAATGTCCCCCTCCGCCACCGTCGTCGACTCCTCCTCCGCAACGAACCAGGCCGTCGGCGCCCTGGGCAAGACCACCTCGGGCAAGAAGCTCAACATCCGATCGTACCCCAAGTTCGACTCGCTGGAAGAGGAGCGGCTGTACCGGAAGCAACATCTTGCCGCGGCGTTTCGCATCTTCGCGGACAGGGGGTTCGACGAGGGCGTTGCGGGGCATATTTCCGTGCGGGATCCGATTCTGACGGATCATTTTTGTACATTGACCCTTTCTACTCCTGGGATTTATTATTTTATTTGGGAAGATACTGACTGTTGCAGGGCTTAACCCCCTCTCGAAACACTTCGCTACTATCTGCGTGTCGGACCTTGTGCTCGTCAATGAAGATGGTGAGGTGGTGATTGGCGACGAGCCGATCAATGCTGCTGCGTTTGCGATTCACTCGGAGGTAGCTACCATTGCCTCATGTAGATATGATCCCTGCTAACTGGGAAAGATCCACAAAGCCAGACCAGACGTCATCGCCGCCTGCCACGCGCACAGCGTCGCCGGCAAGGCGTTCTCCGTCTTCGGCAAGCCGCTCGACATGATGACGCAGGACGCGCTGCGGTTCTACAAGAGCCATGCCGTGTACGACCGGTTCGGCGGGGTGGTCCTCGACCGCGAGGAGGGGAAGAGGATTGCGAAAGCGTTGGGGAATGGCAAGGCGGTCATATTGCAGAATCATGGGTTGCTGACGGTAAGAACCTGTCTCAACACTTGACATACCCCTCTCTCTCTTTACTTTATGACTCGATCACTCGTTCACTGACCGATCGCCGCCAGGTCGGCCAATCCGTCGACGAAGCCGCCTTCTGGTTCATCAGCCTGGACAAGTCGTGCATGGCGCAGCTGCTCGCCGACGCAGCGGCGGCCGGATCGGGAAACAAGAAGATCCTGATCAGCGACGAGGAGGCTGCGTACTCGTACGAGCAGGTTGGGACGCCCGCGAAAGGCTGGCTTGCTTTCCAGGGGTATTATGATGAGATTCTGCAGAGGACGAATGGGAGTTTCTTGAAGTGATGTCAGTACCTAGGAGGAGTTGGTAGCTCTTTTAAATAGCAGCTGCAGGCGGATCATCAGGCTGTGTCCGATATGATTGTACTTAGGTGCTCTTAGGGATATGAAATGCGGTCGATTGTCGACTGTTGACTGTCGGCAGTGACTGAGCTTCGTAAATTTTCCCAAATAGGCAATAACCTGGTAGGAGGAGGAGGACAAGTTGCAGACCGTGTAAAAGCTATGCCTTGTATGAGTCTGCAAGGAAATTAAAAGAATATAAAATAAAAAAAATAAAAATAAAAAATGAGAAATATAAAGTAGAAAAAAGATGGGAGGTACTGTCATACCCACAGCACTCCCGTAGTTGCTAGGAAATTGAATAATGGGTCTGTCGACCATATCATATCATTCATCCTGCTCGATCGAGAAAGAAGAAGTATTCAGGAGCAGGCCAGAGTTAAAGCATGGTAGGTATGTACTTCAAGAATTCTCAAGGCTGATTTCCAGCTGCACGTGCGAGATCGGCTCGGCGCGTCGGCGATCCGTGCCGCCCAACAGGCTGGAGAACCTTTCTATCATCATCCTAGACGTTCTCTATCTGCACTATTTCCATATGCACATCTCTTATCTATGCGTCGAACTTAATCTCGCGAACGTCTATATTGAGATGCAATGACGCCATTCTCTCACTTATTTTCTATCAGTTCCCCACTATACCCCACCTGTTTGCGATTTATGCTGTGGGGCCATTATTCCATAATTATTAATAATGCAGCCCAGCAATTTATCACCATATCAAACATTCGATTGAATATCATCTCTGCGATCTGAGAAAACTGACGTACACTAATCCATTGACCTGTACCTACCAATATGACATATAAAAAGCTCGGTGTCGTCGGTGCGACAGGGCGGTTGGGGACAGAAGGTCAGTCCATACGTACTATATACACACGACGAGCAAGACTGACCGACGTAGTGACCCGCGCCCTGGTCGAAGAGGGCTTTGAAGTCGTGCCGTTTTCGCGCAAGGAGACGGTATTCACCATCTGCTTATCTTCTCTCTAATGGAATTATATCAATGGCACTATTGCTAACGATACTCGTCCTATGAAGACCGTCGCTGGCATTCCCACGCAAAAGCTCGCTCCAGAGACCAGCCTCGTGGGATTTGACGTGATTATTTCCGTTGTCGGTATATACTACGATTTCGTCGCTATTTTGTCGCATAGTACTGTCAGTACAGTACATGTGTTAACAAGATGCAGGCCCCGAAGGATGGGCCGACCAGATCCCGCTGATCGCGCGCGCCAAAGCTGACGGCGTCAAGCGCTTTATTCCCAGCGAATTTGGCATGGACCACCGCGGCGAGCACGTCGAGTACCTGGCGCCGAAGGAGAACGCGCTCAAGGCGGCACAGGAGGCGGGGTTTCCTGACGGTGAGCACATCCGTCCAGTCTTGTCTCCGACCGTAAGGTCTATATACTAAGTAATGCTACAGGCTGGACGGCCTTCATAAACGGCTTCTTCGAGACTGTCATCCCGCTCATGGTACAGTGGGATCTGGAGCAGGGCACCATCCGCGTCGTCGGCAAGGGCACAACCGCCTACCCCTTCGTCTTCCGGCACGACATCGGGCGAGCGATCGCGCAGACGCTGAAAGCGCCAGCCGATACGTACAGGGATACCTGGGTGCTGCTGGCCAGCGGGTGGGCGTCCGGCAACGAGATCGCGCAGTGGGTGGAGGAGGCGGCGGGCAAGAAGCTGGCCGTCGAGCACGTCGAACCCAGCGCGGCGACGCCGATCATCAGCCTGCTGGAGAAGACGGGCCGCAACGTGTTTGACCGGAGCTTGGCGACGGACCTGGGATTGGAGTGGGGGGATCTGAGGGCGTATGTGAGGGGGTTAGTAGGGTGAACGTTCGGGATCTCGATGGGTAGTCCAGTTATAAGAGCCTGCTTGTTGGACTCTTCTTTTCTCTTGTCAGATTTGCATCTACCGTAGCGAGTAATAATATTCGATCATAGCCCTAAACTCATCGAATATAAAGTACTGACGAGGAGTCAATACATGTAATAGAATTAATAAAACACGGCTCAAAACGACCGCGCCAGGAAGAAATAAATTCGGAAACGCCAGTTCATCTGACGAAGAATCCCCATCTATGATTTCTTTTTCTTCTGCTTCACGAATACTCCTAGAAAAATAAATTGCTTGCAGTTACATGCCTAGGTAGGTATGTACAGTACATCCTACCTAGTATTATGCATTAGCAACAGAACCTGCAGATGCTGAATTCGGACTGTCCCACCATGTCATCGATTTTTATCATTTTGCCATTGCCCATCCCCATGATCTGGAGGAGCCTGCAACGGTCCTGGCAGGATAAACTAGCTGCTGGGATTGAACGCTGTCTTCTTTGTAGGCTGACATGTGTACTGAGTCACTGTGTATCAGAATCATCCATCCGGATGACTGTATGTACATATTTATAGGTTCGTCATGAATTATTGTAGCCTTCTCTTTATTTTTTTTAGTTAGTTACTCCGTAGGTAAACATGGCCAGGATCCACAATGGATGGAAAGATTGGAAACGTTCCATCATTACCGAAACGGGAAAATTCACTGCGCTGAATTGAGCAGATTTTATTAAACATATGTATCCACTCGCATACTATGAATTTTTAGATCAAAGGGGCTCTTTCTTTCTTTTTTATAAACAATATTAGTGGTTATATTGTTCGTAGATAAATACCTAAAGATCGGTTATAGGTTATATTATCTGTTCTGAGGGAATAATGAATTGAGCATGATGAAGAGAGATTTGAGAGAGACCTAACAGTCGAAAATAGCAGGCTTTTTTTTTTAAAAAAAAAAGGGGGGGGAAGGGAAGAGAAAAGAACGGTTAACCCTCTATGGTAATAATAATAATAATTTAATGCCAATACTAGGACTATTCAAGAGTACCTCTGAACCGCTTACCTATCTATCTCATAATGAAGAAGTTACGAACTTCTGGTGAATACATGATTAATATTAAGCCAGAAATGTATCACATGTATGTTCCTACCTACCTACGAATAAGATAAAAATAGATAGGTACACCTCATTTAGTATACAAGATACTGCACAGTACAGGCAGTTCCTTACTTAGCGATCTCCCCGATTAATCATATCCCGCTCAAACGTGCTCAGCCTAACCCATCCCGTCTAGGTAGACTCCGGTGCGGAGGAAAGAAACGCCTGATTTCATTCGATTCGAATGGATTGGATTGGCTGGTGGATACCTACCTATGTATGTAATAAAGCGAGACGAGATCAAAGAAGAAGAAGAGGGGGAGGGGTACGAGGACCTTGGGGGTTGTCGCCGATAAATCGTTTGTGTTGCTGTTTTTTTCTTCCTTCCTCACTGTTTTCTCGTGTTGACAGCCTCGACTATACTATCCTGTTTGCTGTTTGTTTGTTTGTGAGAAAAGATCTCTGAGATATACAGTAGAAAATGGCTACTCCGACGTATACGCTGCCTCCGCTTCCATACGCCTACGATGTATGTCCTCTCATTCAAAGCCTGCTCGTTTAGTCTTCTTATATGAATGAATCTGACCCTTCAGGCCCTCGAACCGGTCATCTCCCGCCAGATCATGGAGCTGCACCACCAGAAGCACCACCAGACCTACATCACCAACCTCAACGCCGCCCTGGCCGCGCAGGCCAAGGCCATCCAGGCCAACGACGTCCCCCAGCTGATCTCCCTGCAGCAGAAGATCAAGTTCAACGGCGGCGGGCACATCAACCACTCGCTCTTCTGGAAGAACCTGACGCCTCCGGGCTCGGCAGAGTCGTCGCTCGATGCCGCTCCGACCCTCAAGCAGGCCATTGCCACGAGGTGGGGGTCCACGGAGAAGTTCATCGAGGCCTTCAAGGCGGCCCTGCTCGGCATCCAGGGCAGTGGATGGGGCTGGCTCGTGGCGAACGCTCCCAACGGGAAGCTGGACATTGTGACCACCAAGGACCAGGATCCGGTCACTGAGCCGCAGATCCCCATCTTTGGGGTGGACATGTGGGAGCATGCGTATTATCTGCAGGTAAGCTATTGCCAGGACTGGGACCGGTCAGTTGCAAGAATCCATGCTGATCGATGCCCGCAGTACCTCAACAACAAGGGTGGCTATGTCAGCGAGATCTGGAAAGTCATCAACTGGGCCGTTGCGGAGGAGAGATATAAGAACGGAGTTGACGGGTCTGCGATCTTGAAGGCAGCAATCTAGATAGTGTCGTATACTGAGGACATAGCAAGCATGATGAAATAACATAATGAAACACAAAATAAATAAATACACAAGAAACACAACTAAACCACCATTCCCAAACGCCATTATAAAAATGATCAAGTCTGTTAGCAATCAATTCCACCCAACGATCCCCGTCCCCAGAAGAACATTCCGCGACAGCAGCGTCACCTGCCGTCCGACAATCCCCGTCTCGGAGATGCCGAGATCGAGCTTCTCCGGGAGCTCGAATTCCATCGTCTTGCCGCGAGTGTCGAGGGAGAAGGAGTGCAGCGGCTGATGGAGCGTCGAGTCCGCGGAGGTCAGGTCTCCGTGTCGTCTAGAACCATTAGAATACGTACATACAGCACACGTGGCTGAAAGAAAAGCAGTCCCTCCGGGACGTCAGGAGAAACAAAACAAAACGATGGCTTCGACTCACTCTATCCGTAAATCCACTCGATTGCAGCGCCTCAGCGCATCCATGGTCTGCGCGTCATCGACCTTGAACGTCGCCCGCGTTCTGGTCATTCTGTCGTCGTTGTGGAAGAGCAGCGTGTACGAACTGATCTTCGACGAGCTGGACGCAGTAGCAGCTGAGGTAGGAGAAGAAGGGGGGAACATGACTGCGATTCGACCGCCGGCGCTGGGGCGGGGTGGGATATCACCGCACATGGTTATCAGATCAGATCAGATCAGATCAAAGATTGTGTAGCTGTCAATACAGAAGAGAAATAAATTATGGAGGCAGACGCTGTTCAGAGTGAGCGAATCTGACAAAGACTGACTGATCTTCCGCTGTCGTCGACAGGAGGAATGACCGATAAGTAGTAATATATTATCTGGTTACATTCCCAGGAGAAGACCACCGGCTGAACAAGCACATTATGTACCTTATGTAGCTACCTATCAGCAGCACATGTTCGTCTTGCAACGCCATCACCCCCTGAGACTTGCGGCAGGATCCATCCCAAAGGTACCCAGCCCATTATTCTGGCAGACTGGGGGTGAGCAGGTTTCCAGCACTCCCTGCTGGCCGTACGGGTACTGGCTATCGTTCATTCAGATGGCTCCCAAGGTTGCTCAAATCTGCTCAAGTTGTTCTCCACCGACTGTCGCCGGTGGGGCGAGTTCCTAATTCAAATCAATTAGTCAGTCTCACATAATTTGGACACTATTATCACTGGTGCGGTACCTGGCAATAGCTCGAGCTCGAGTCATGAAGGCAATTGGCAATGTTGTTTTGGGAATACGTAGCTTTCGAGGACCTTGGCAGATTGACTTGTATAAGTTTGGGTGAAGTGGCTGAGAGCTGGCCTGACATGTGACTACAGAGTAGGCGGCTGGCACTACCTTTACTATCAACAAACACTTGCTGCAATCTCAAACTACATTTACATGACTACTGGTCCAAGACAATTGTAACCGGGTTTACTAGGCCCGTAGGCCCTCAAAATTATCTTCATTCAGCTAATCTAGCTAGAAGCACGATCCTATCTCTGAACAGCAAAAGGCATATGTACAGTACAGTAGGACAGTCACTACCTATGAGCAGCCGCTGCATGCCTGCTGACTTGTCTGGTACCATCCAGATGCGTTGTATCGCCCCTGGGAAGACAGTGCAATCACCCTGCTACCTCTGAGTGGGAGCCGCACCGCTCTTTTACCAAACCAAAGACGGATCAAAAAGGTGGAATGAAATGGTCACCAACCTAGCACTCTGGACCTGCCTGGTTCGACGAACCGTTGGGCCATCGGAGCCGGGAGCTACTAGATCACTGCGCGTTAGAGTCAGAATCAGAATCAAGCGGACGGTCGATCGGTCCAGGAACAATGGACCCCATCTTGAGGGCTACATGCCGAAAGCCGAGCCGGCAGTTTACGAGTCTTCAAAAAACTTCCTTGAAATCATGGGGACAAGCCCCGACACGAGGAATCGGTTAGTCTCTGTTAAACGAAAGTATTCAGGCAGGAGTCGCTGTATCGGGGAGTCCATTAGAGGAGGACATTTGACGTTTTGCGTCTCTTTGTGCCGTTTCCTGTATGTACATTGTCTGCATCAGTATCATTCTTGCGCACTGGATTCAGGAGTAGGCCAAAATGCCATTCGGCATGACAGAGCTGCTCGTTCTCTTCTTCCAGCTCTGATGAGTCGGCCTCCTGTTGCAACTTACGTCTAGAGCATCAATGCTTCGCTTCTGACCAGCGGCTTCGGGCTTCTTGATGACCTTCTTCTTCGGCCGCGTTGGTCGTGTCTCTCCGGGTTCGAAAACATCGTCGGGCAGGTCGAAACTGGACGACTTGTTAGACAGATCGCCGGACCCCACGCTGAGGAGAAACTTACTTTCGGACGTGCGTAATGGTCAAGTCGTTGATACCGGGCTGGTATCCTTGCCACGATGTACACATTGATTTGAACATTTGGGCGTCGGCCGATATATCCAGTGATCTCGATGCGCCTAGGAGAACAAGTTAGCACAATCAAACGACATAGATCGACCTCCTTACCTGGCTCTAAAGGCTTCAATTCCAATCCGATGTAATAGGTCGTCGTATAGATTATGCGGCTGTCGGAGTTGCCATTTGTCTCCGTCCCCGGTACTTGCGCATCTTCAGCGCCAGTTTCAGCGGCTGCGGTGTGGGTCGGGTCCTTGGTTTCATCCGTAGTCTCGGTCTTCGTGCCCTGTGCCTGGTATTGCGTCGATCCATTCTTCACAGCTTCTGCCTCTTTGTCATCTCGAACCACATGTACTCTTTCAAAGCCTTTAGGGAATGGGTGTGCTACAGAGATGGTGGGCTTTCGATCAAGTGCACCAACCAGGTGCCTGAGTTTCGATTCCACCAGACCTGACCAGACCGACTGAGCTTCTTTCGTTTTGCTGGAAGATGTAATGCAAAGGTAGTACTTGTAGTCTTGGGAGAAAAAGGTGTGCCTGGTGAAAAGGTCCTTCCAAGTAAGTTGCTTCATGAAGATCTTGTCCACAATGTCTCCACCCCGCTGCAGCTCGCGCAAGATGACCGTCTTTGTCGACACTGTGACGTTGTGAGTGGCGCACATCGAAGGATACGCTGGGGTGATGATGGGCATGAGATGATATCTGTCTCCATGGTAGATCTTCGGTCGAGTCAGCAATTCATTCCCATGGTAATATTGGCATACAGTTCCCTGACCTTCGGATTCCAAACTTTCATCTGCAGAGGTCCGTCTTCAATTGGTTTCAGTAGCACAGGCTGAGGCCAAGCCCATTTGTTCATGATTCGGAAGAACTTGCCGACGATGACTGAGCCCGTCGCATGGGGATAGAGCTGACAAACACGTGCCACCAACATCGCCCAAGCAACACCTCCTGGGAAACCCACGACGTTGGAGTAGATTGCTCGACCTGATGAACCTGGTGTTAGCCAGATGAGCCATTTCAGAAGAAGACAGTCGATGACTTACGTTGTGCCCATAGTTTTATAGCCCTCAGCGCAAGGCGGAACGTCTTCTGCTGGGGCACAAGCTCCAGGATCTGGTCGGTCACACGGGTTCCATTAAGCGATCGGACTTCCTTCTCATCCAGTCCTCTCAGATAATCATTGTTCTTCAAATCAAGATTGAGAGGTATCGAGGGGATAATCAACCGTGCGAAGATCAAATCGATGCTGATGCCGGTGTACACGAGTTTGATGATTGGAACAAAGGCATCGGGTACTGGCGTCAGCTTCTCGATAGCGCCTTCCGGTGACATCCTCTCTAGCGTAGGAGGGAAATCGGAAAAGAAGTCTTCGATCAGCACATGCTTTGGTGCGACAACCAGCGTATCGATGTCCGACCCTATCATAGACCGTTTGTCAGAGATATCCTCCAGATGAGAGAAAATAGCCACACATGAAAGCACTTACCAGGACCATAGACGCCCAAGCGATAACTGCCAAATGTGAAGATTTTACCACCTGATGCTTCGACCGCTGCGGGTGAGAGCCCCTTCCTGCGACTGACAACTTTGATGAACTCCACGGTGACCTTCTGGATATGCTGGAGCGTTTGTTTCCTGCATGACGAGCCTTTAGCCTCCTTCCACGAAAACAATCCTTAGCAAGCCTACCTCCGTTCCGTCTCCGCGGGACTCTCAAAGTTGTTCTGGGCCTTGAGCTCCGCAATCAGGTCATCGTTGGCTGCGAGTTCCTCTGGTGTTGGCAACATGGTGGATATTGGAGGAGTAACACCCCATTGTCGGGGTTGCTGATTCTGCTGGTTTGCCATGACTGCTCTGATATCAAATGGAGACACTCATTCAGTCGCTGTACAGGAATCCTCATAGATAGGAGCAGGTGGGATGGGATGAGGGTGAAGCAGGAGAGAGATCAAAAAAGCAAAGAGAAGTCTGAAAGAGGGAAAGAAAATGACGCAGACTAGTGGAAAGGTGAAAACATTACACAAAAGGAAACAGAAGAGAGTGTACGAAACCGGGTCCTACGACACCAGCGATGCAGTGCGAGATGGATACGAATGCTTCATCGAGCAGCCTTTGCGACGGCAGGAGACCTCTGATGACTAAGTCGATGTTGAGTTTTCGTTCACGTGACGCGACGTGTCACATGTGATTCGCTACGATGCTACCGCCTCCAATCACACCGCCGGGTTTGCCGCTCGATTCTTCAGGAAGATTCGCAGGAGGCATCAATTAAGGTGCAGCATCTCTTCAATTTACTACAGCGGTATCACTTTTAATCAATCAGAACTAGTTCTCGGAGAAGAATTTGGCCATTTTCATATCCAGCCACTCGACGTCTTCTTTGCTGTCTCCAGGACCTCCGGCCCAATCTGCCATCGAATCAGTCAGGAGATATGAGGAGTTCTTTGAGAAGCTGAGGTGGACTTACGGCCCCAGATCGAAGGGAAGACATCCAGTTGTCCAATCCCCGGTTGCATGCAAGCAACTTCATACTCGGAGTCTTCAGGTCTGGCAGGTTGGTCAGCTTATTGTCCGGTCGGCCATGATATGCTGTTGCACTCACGGAAAGTAGAGGTCGGTTTTGCTGGGCAACACCAAGGTCTTTGCTTTGATTGAACAGAGAGCCTTTTCAAAATCGCCGTTGTAGGGCTCTTGCTTCGACACGTCTCCGTTCTGCCAGGTCTGCAGCATGACTAGCATATTCTCCGGATCTTCAATACGGCAATCAGCTTCGATCGGTGACAACGCGACGCTTGAATGCGCTCACCTTTGGAGCAGGCCCACTTTTCCCAGAAATTCACCATGAAGTCTTCCAGGTCTTTAAATCCCAGGACCTTCTCGTAAAGCCTCTCCCTGTAGAAGGCTTGGCTGAATCCCCTGTTGGAGATGATTAGCTTCCGCTACTGACATGTGTGGATGTTCTTACCATCCAGCATAACCTCTGCCAAAAGCCTTCATACCAACCTCCTTTTCCTCTGCCGTCCATGTTCTATATGGCTGTCCTTGGACCGCGACACCCCCTTCACCGGAGCCAGCGGACGGGATCTTCTTTGCGGCCAACATGGCGCTCTTGACTCCCTCAAGAAAGACTTGATTGTGCAGGGACGTTCTCGCTGAACCGCAGAACGGCACAATCAAGTCCATGAAATCTGGGTATTGTGTGGCCCATTGGAAACTCTGAGCTGCACCCATGGACCAGCCGACTACCGCTCGCAAGTGAGTGATTCCGAAGTGCTGCGTGACCAGAGTATGCTGCGCGCGGACGTTATCGTAGAAAGAACATCTCGGGAAGGGCCTATTAGGGGAAGAAGGTGCTTGGTTTGATGGAGAAGACGACTGCCCATTGCCGAAGAGCGCGGGGATGATGATGAAGTACTTTCGTGGGTTCAAGGTCTTGTCTTCTCCAATCAACCAGTAATTGTCCGAAATGACTTCACACTCCGCTGTCAGCGCCGTTCATTATGATTAGCTTCAGTGATGGCACAAACATACACCCAGAGTACCAGGTCGGGTAGACAATTGCCGGATACTTGGGATCTCCGAACGTCTTGTATGCGATGTGGGCATCTATGATCTTCTCTCCGCTCTGCAACTCCCAGTCGCCGAGCTTGAAGATCTCGTAATCCTGGTCCTGTGCCATAGTTTCGTCAATACACGAGTGCGATACGTGAAGGTTGATCGACGCGCTCTGGTAGAAGTCAAGAAATCGATATCCAATAGTAGTGATGTTCACTAAGCTGCTCCTAAGATTACTGATAACGCAGACAGCTTTGTTCCTTGTGATGATAGATAAGCGATTTATTATCATTACCAGGTAATATCAGACAGGAACCAGGAGCAGGCACATGACACGAGATAAGGCTTCCCCGCAGCACGACTATCCCACCCGGCAACATCGAAGGAGGACAAATGATAACGATAGTATAATGATCTCTAGCGAATCCACGCAACCGTTTCTGTCTGTTTGCTTTGAAATTCCGGCCCCTCTAATAATAATCGACTGATTACTCATGAAGGCAGCTCTCTTTAGCAGTTACAAGAACAGCACCTGCAATTTCTACCAGACCTTCTGCCATTAATCGCGACTTTATACGATGCATTCTTTCCATAGGAACGCCTGGAGTTACCTGACCTATGTAGGTAGCATTATTACTCAAGACTGCAAGCATAGGTGCAGAGCAAATGATCGTATGTACTCTGTCAGATCCCCTGGCTTTCGCGAATCCCCAGGCATCTCCAGGCAGCATTTCTCTCTTCTGGTCCGTAACAGGGATATGGACACGACGTCATGTGATATATGCCCCTGCCTTAGGATAGAAGCAATGCTCCTTCTCCTCTGAGGAACTAATTTCCAGTTCTGGAAGGAAGACACCTTGAGTAAGTCCACCAGTTCTGTCCGTTTCTTTTTTCCCATTCCATTCTCTGCCAGTATCCATCTGTTGCGAGAGCCACGGCTTTCCCATTCACTACAACTCCATCATTGCCTACTTTCCCTTTTCTCCCTCATCAGAACGTGTACTCCGTACAACTCGCCCTAACAACATCTCCAGATTCCACGCCGTTGGCCACACCACGGGAACCCGCGCAGACCTGGCAGAAATGGAGTTCATAACCCATTGTCCATCAGACGTGCCTCCGAAAAAGCCGTATTCTGGGGCTGTGTGGCATCACAGACTGGCAAAATCTTGCGAGTCCCCAGAAGGATGGATGGTTCTTCTCTGATTTCTCTCTATTCCACCACTTGCTCTCCCCAATGGGTAAGTGCCTTATCTATCTTCCATGTTGTGCATTGGTAGTGCAGTGGACTTACACTCAGTACAATTGCTTAGATGTTCCATCGTCTAACCAATGCTGGTTGACTTGTGAGAGGCCTGAAGATCTGGTAGTCAAGTATGCGGAGTATGCCCGTGGAGATCCGGAGAAAGACAGGCGAATTGTTCTTGACAAGAATACACTGCCACGCATTACCCAGGCGGACAATCTGCAGGTCGTGCCGCGAGAAGATCTGCTGGAGCAATTCTTATGCACACTGCAAGAGCAGGCCCGGTTAGCAGCAGAAGCCGATGAACACCTCCTTATTCTGATCTTTGGCCATGGCGACCCCAACTCCTATGGAGTTTTCGTTGTGGGGAATGGCAACTCCGAAAAAGCCCCGATACTCTACATGAACAACGTCAAAAGACTGCTGCCGAAGAACGCTTCTGTGACCCTATTGATGACCTCATGTTTCTCTGGGGGTTGGCTGGTATACCCTGATCTCTCTGACAGTCGTAAAGAACTAGTTAATACCACCGGTAACACCACGGCAGGTCCAACGAAGGAAACTCAGTCTTGGCCACTGAGCCGAAGCGTGGGGCGTGCAAGTGGCAGCATCGCGGCGACTACAATTCTGCAGTGCTTGATCGACATTGAGGAGGCAGCAGCAGAGGAACAGGAGGTCCGGATACATCCGACGTATATCCAGTTGGCCCACTCGATCTTTGAGACCTTGGAGAAAATCGATCGTTTTGGTGAGGACCAAGAAATTCACTTTGCGGCACAAGACGATGAATGGGAGACAGAATATCGGCGCCGTCTTGGACTCCCCCTTGCCTCTTACAAGGATCGATGGGAATCTCTGCGGAAAATCCCAGCAATTGGCGGCCAAAGCTCCGGAGAAAGCACCACCTCCAGGACGGGACACCTGCGGAAACGTCGGCGAGTTAAGATCCTTGCACGGGGGTACTTTGCTTCATATCCGGGCCTTGACGAGTGGGCTGCCAATCTGTCGCTACACCATAGATTGAAGAAAATCCTGGGAGGCTCGGACGACTTCGATGCAAAAGAAATAGACAGGTTATATAACTGCATCACATACCGACTCGGCGCAATGCACGAGGCCGATGAGGTGCGAAGGAACATGGGTGTACAATTCCCCTCCATCTTTGAGTTTGACGTCGACAAATGGAAATTAGACGAGTCCGCCCGGATACGCAGCGGGAAATCCGACAGGGACGAACTGTATTCGCGTGTCCTGAGGCTGCTCTAGAGCGAGAAGGTGCTTGCGCCGCCGGTTGGAGGTGGCTTGTACTACACGAAACCCTGGTATTACCTTGGGATCGCACTCGTGGAGACGGGAATGGACTGGAGCAAGATTCAGTCCAAGGTGGCCATGGCAGCGTCAGAAAGAGCAGCATGGTACCAGTCCGTTTACCGTGCGTGGCGGGGTAGACAGGTGGTGGAAGACAAGGATGTCGTGAGCCATAGAAAGGCCTTCATGAAAGCCACGAAGGACTTAGACCGGAAGGTGAAAGAAAGAGGTGTTGAAGTAATGGCAAAGGCTGGGCAAATCCAGGGTCAGTGTTGAACTTGAGCTTCGTACCAGGACAAGGTTGGTAGCTGTCAAACCTTGTATCCAATTGCTAATGATGATAGTATAAATTAAATGACAAAGCAAAAATAATCCTATTTACGTCTCTTGTTTCTCACAATGTCTGCATTGGTTACAACAAGATGTCTATCCAAATTGACAAGAAGAGCCAGTATTCAGGGGGGAAAAAAAATAGCGCACTCAGATTGCTGGTATTGTAAACGTGAAGCTATTTTCACTACCTAGCTAGGTAAATCCAGGTATCTACATAACCTAGCCGACAGCGGACTCCGAGGCCTGTACCTACGCGCGGGGTCGAAGCTCCTCCCTGTCGGGCCGTTTGATCGGCAGACAAGCGCTGGGTTTCTTATTTCCACGCACTTCGGCTGCCAGTGACTGCCATCTTGGCCGTGCGAATTGGGACATTGCCGCTGGAGCGGGCCGTGGCATTAAGTGAGGTGATGACATCTGCGGAGAGAGCTCGGTCCCTGGATTCATTTATTTTCCATATTCAATCCGGATTTCTCACTTTTTGTATATTATTCCTTTGCTGATAGATTTGTAGAGCTCGCCTGGTTGAGATGAGCCCGCTAGCAAGACACACTGCCTTGGCAGGCAGAAGAACGGTTTTCAATTGCTTGTCGTACGTGCTGAATTTGAGTAACCCCAAACTCCGACAGCTGAGATACACGACTGTCTGTTCACTACTGACCTTTAGCAGACGCTGCTCGCAGGTGCGATTCCGCAGTACGACGAGCCATTACTTCCAGACCGGGTCCGATTTCGCACAAGTCCAGGCGTCGCGGCCCGACTTTGACCGCAATGCGCCCGTCAAGTACACGAAGCCCCCGAATCCCGAGTGGAAGGAGGGGGATGGTGCCAACGACGGCGGTGCCAGTCTTAGCAAAGAGCACGTGGAGATTGACCCGTACGAGGAGGGCAGGTCTGCCGGCTCCAACTACAAGCTGTTGATCTCGGGAATTGTGCCCCGGCCGATTGCACTGATTAGCACCCGATCCCGCGACGGTCAGTCGGTCAACCTGGCGCCCTTCAGCTACTCGCAGGTCATCAACCACGACCCTCCTCTGTTCGCCGTCGGCTTCGTGGGGTCCCTGGAGAAGGCGAAAGACACGTTGAAGAATCTCACCGAGACCGGCGAGTGCGTCATCAACATCATCTCGGAGCATTTTGTCGAAGCGGCCAATGCGACCTCGGTCAATGCGCCGTACGGCGTCTCCGAATGGAAGATCGCAGGGCTGCACCAGGCTCCTTGTTCCACCGTCCAGGCCTCGCGCGTGAAAGAGTCGATATTTGCCGTCGAGGGCAAGCTCGTCGAGACCAAGGAGTTCGAGAGCCGCGTCAAAGCCGGCAAGAAGACGGGGGTTCTCGCGATCATCGAGGGGACTCGATTCTGGGTCCGCGAAGACGCGATCAACGAGGAGAAGAGTCTGGTGAACCTGGATGTGCTGCGACCGATCAGTCGTCTGGGAGGCGTGCAGTATGGGCGCACGACCGAAGTCATAGAAATCCCCCGGCCCTCATTCTGAATCTCTGCATCAATAATAGACGATCAACTCACGTTCGCCGTTTTCTCCCCGTCTCCATGTAGAGTAGTGTAGACAGTCCCTAGCTTGTTTGGGCAGGAGCCCCGTGAAGTAGGATATCTCCAGTTCCACCGTGTCGAGTGTCCCACCGGCCACATGACCTGACGGCCCTCCAGCACTGTAAACGCGAGATCGATGAGACGTTTGGTGGGGGAACTATGCTGGGCTAAGAGGAAGAGAGTTTGCGACGTCCACTTGGAGCCGGACTGGGCCGTTCCAGAACCCTGGGAGCAGGGCGACGAGACTCTTTTCCGACGCAGGCACGGCAGGATTGTCGCGCGAGATCTGCTGGCTCAGTCTGCTGTTGCGCGCGACCCACAGAGCCCATTCCAAGGATCCAATTCCAAGTTCTTCAGACGATCCGCCGCTCTGGGGCCGTCGCGCTGGCGCCGGCGGTCAGTGTGACCAGCAAAAATTTCCCCGGCCACGCTGCTGAGCTTAGCTACGGCCTCCTCCGCGCTCCCAGCGAATAACCCGCCCCGTCGCCGAACAGCACCCTTCCCCTTCCCCTCCTCTGCTGCGCGTGCTGTCGACTGCTCGAGCCCATGGATAGCCCTCTTCCTTCTCTTCGGAGCCTCCCGTTCGCTTCTGCTGCGCCGTAGGCCCCCGTGCTCGCCGCCCCGTCCCCCTGCAGGCCATCTGTCCTTCCAGAGGGGAGAGAGAGCCTCCGATGAAGCGTGGCTGCCCATGACCGCCCAACGCTCGCAATGAGCCATCCTTCTCCCAAGAAGAAGAGCGGCGCCAGTCTTCCTCCCCAGCCTCGCCAGATCCGCTTTGTCTCGACCGATGGTCAGCCTCAGACCAAGAGGCGCCGGGTGACGACTGCGTATGCGCCTCCTCCCCTCGCGTGGTGCTGCCAGGCTGTCGCTGACATGTGTTCTTGCTGCCCCGCTTAGATGTCGAACCTGTCGCAAGCGCAAGATCCGATGCTCGGGCGAGCAACCCAGTTCGTGGCCCTCGATGCTCCTTCTGCTTCTGCGAGCGACGTCTTCTGACTTGGCCTGCAGCGTGCAAAACCTGTCTGGACTACGGTTACACTTGTCTTGGATACAACGAGCCCGCGCAATCCCAATCCCAACCCCAGACTCCGTCGCAGCCCCCAGCGAGGATCAGTCAGCCCGCTCATGTTGAAGACGACGGCGAGAATAATAATAGGAATGCCCGAGCGACGCCAATTCGTTCGCCAGGGACGCCCCAGGCCACGTTGCCGCCGCCGCCGCCGCCGCCAACTGGCAATAACAACCAGTCCCCCAACTCACCGAAATCGTCCAAACCACCCGACGCCTCCGAGTCGAAAGTCGTTCCTTTGACCAAAGACACCCTCGCAAAAGCCAATAAAGAACAGGGAAATGCTGCGGGGGAGAGTCCTGAGAGCAGTAAGTTTGGAGACGGCCAATTTCTTATGAGGTTGCGGATGCTGATGGAATGGCATCCGTCGTCCAGGTCGCACGTCTCTCAACTCCAATCATCGCACCCATGTCCCGTATTTCAGGTACTTTGGTCCGACGGCCATCGTCCCGGGCTTTAAGCAAATGGTGTGATGAGATGCTCCGTGTTGCCCGTCGTCCGACTCCGTCACTAACACCAGACTCAGGTGGTGCGGGTTCGAGAAAGAAGGAGTAACCTTTCGCAGTCTTCCGGTAAGAGTTGCTACTTTCTTACACGCATGCATCAGGTCCGTTGTCTGATGATTCCTAGAATCGCTTTCTTCGGTGCGGAGCCCTCGACCTAATACCACCGGAGGCACTTCTTTAGCTGCCGCCCTGGGCGATCTGGGAGATGCCAATTCCATTCCTTTCTACGACCGTGACGACAACTTACCGACGAGCAATCTGGTTATCCATCTGTGCGAGCTATTCTTCGTCCATTTGGGTTGCAGCTTCCCCTTCCTCCAGCGCGATCGGTTCATGAGAGACTTGAAAGAAAAGAAGATCGATACTATCCTAGTGGATGCAGTCTGCGCGTTGGCGGCCCGATTCTCTCCACACCCGTTATTGAGCCCTCCTCAAGCCCGGCCGATTGATGGCACCGAGCCTCAGCCTGAACAAGTCAAAAAGTCCGACCATGGCCAGCCGTTCGCTCACCGGGCCATGACTGCCGTTGTCGATGCCTTGTCATGTCCAACGTTATCTGTCGTGCAGGCCTGTCTACTGCTAGCGTATGAGGAATTCGGCTCGAATCACGACAGTGGACTCTGGATGTATCTGGGCATCTCCATCCGGATGGCACAAGACCTAGGAATGCAGAAACTTCAAGGCTTGAAGCACAAGTACGGGCGCACCGGTCTGACTCCGAAGGCCATCATCAGTGGCCAGGCGAGCAAGCTGCCTGTGGAGGAGTACGAGAGTCCCCAGGCCTCAAAAGCAAGCGAGGAGGGTGAGGACGAGAGTACGGCGGACGAACGGGCGAGGGAACGGGAGAGAGTGGACACGTTTTGGAGCATCTTCTTTCTCGACCGGGTCATATCGTCTGGTACAGGAAGGCCGGTGACATTGCGCGACGAAGATATCGAGCTGTACTTTCCGCTGCAGTCCGAGTCTCTGCTTCCCAATGGCTGGCCAGCGCCGTTTCCACCCCTGATCAGGATGATCCATCTGTACGGGAGAGTCACCGACTTGATCAATGGAATTCAAGACAACAACATCGATACCGATACATTGAAGCGGCTGGCAGCTATGGAAAGCGACCTCACTGGTATGTGCAAATTTCATGTCGCAACCATGGGCATGAGATTAACAGTTCTACAGGTATCTATCAACGCCTTTCGCCAAAGCTTCACTTTAACGCAGTGAACTTTCAGACCTATGTGAGAGCGCAGGAAGGAACCAATTTCATCCTCCTTCACTTTGTAAGTTTACTTCGTGACAATTTGCGTTCTTTTGCTAATACCTGCAGTGGTTTCATACGTTGATTGTCCTCCTGCATCAACCGACCCTTCTGAATTCGTTTGGAGGACGAATGCAGCAACTCTACCCCAACAGCCGAGAGCTGTCCATGTCGTCGGCCAAGACAATTGCAGATATCTTGTCGTTCTCAGAACTCATCGATGCGAAAAGCTTCATAGGCAATCCTTTCACGAGTCAGCCGATGTACATTGCCGCATGTGCCTTTCTGATGGAGAGTGCCTACTACACGTCGCTTGTGGAGAATACGCAGTCTTCTTCTCCTGGTTCTCGAGCGGGCACTCCGCCGATTCTGATGACGACGCAATCATCCGGCGCGTTCTCCATGGACAGTTCCAATGACTCGGAGCGCAGGTCCAATACGAAACACATCCTCCTGGCTTCGGCGGCGAAGGAAAACTATCAGCGGTGTTACAAAGCGCTGCAATCTTTGGAAACCTACTGGGAGGGTGCCAAATATATCCTGACTGTGCTGGATCAGAAGGCGAAAGGAATCCCAGATCCTCTATTGTACACGGCTGAGGAGATGGAAGGCGCCGTGGAACCAGCCCCGGTTCAATCGTTTACCCCTAGCAACTGGCGGAAAGGAAGCGCTCAGACCGAGAATCCCGACACGAAACGATCGGATGATCCCCAGTCGTCAACTCAACAGAGAGGTGCGCCATCCGAAGGAGGATGGTCCCCGAAGATCGATCCAAGTCAAGGTGAGCAGGGATAACCAGTCTGTCTTAGACCACTGTCTTAACGAGTATGCTGATTTCTTTGCTTAGCTATTGGATGGGCGCTCACTGGGGCTACCAACTCGTCGCAACCCAATCTCAGCTTGCTGTACCAGATGCCCGCTCCGCAAGCAGGGTCGGAGACCCAAGTTCCGACTGCGTACAGTCAAGGCTTCTCCACTGCCACGGCCCAAACATCCGAAACGCGGCGCAATCCTGATTCATCGTATCCACAATTGGTGTCTTCATATTCGTCGACAACGATGACACGACCCTCTTCCGTCGCTGCTGAAGCTCAGAAATATCCATCTGCTGCGGCCCACTCGAGCACGAACCTCCTTCTTGGAATGAATAATCCCTACGCCGGCTCCAGCACCCGAACGACCTCGCCCGGTTCTCAGGGTGTTTACAATCCGAATCTCGCCGCGTCGCAGATGGCCGCTGAGTCGGCATCGTCCTTCAATTACGGGGTGTCCCACCAGCAGCTGCCAAACACGAGCAACAACACGGTCCTCGGGGGGCCAGGTGGGATGACCTCGCAAGTGGGGGACATGATGATCGAGAGCCAGGACATCGACGTGAACACGCTGCAGCAGAACCAGGACACGTTCCCGTTTTCGTTTTCCAACGACTTTATCCCGTGGCTGGAGTATCTCCCTCAGGACGTGCTCAGCTTTTTTGAGGAACAGCACCAAGAAGGCTGCACCACCACGACGCCTATGATGGGAGGAGACGGCCAGCCAGGCCCTCCTCCTCCTCCTCCTGCTCCACCACAGCAATAACCTGACCTGACCTACCGCAGCCCAGCCCAGCCCAGCCCAGCCCATTTTTGATTTCGCACGTCACGTCAGTCGTTCAGTCAGTAGTCCATGTTAGCAGTCCATGTTAGTTAAATTAGGTTTTTGGAAGCGATCTCGATCTCACATGTCACATTTTCTTAGCAAGCGACGGCGCGAAGGAAGGTGAAAAGGTAGAAGGTGGAAGGTAGAAGGTATTGCGGTTGGCTCGTTAGCGTCTTATTTTGGGAATGACGAAAATTAAGTTTTACAAAGAAAGGTGCGGAGAAAGGCGCGGAGTCGGAGTAATTGGGGTTGGTTGAGGATTTGAGGATATTTTTAATTTAATATTGTCAGGGTTATACATAAATTTGGTAGATACCATCTTTGTATGTCACGAACGAAGCGAGCACATAGCATAGCATAGCGTTTATCCTTTTGTCTGGTTGGACTTGGAGTTGACTTGACATGAGTAGATAGAGAGTAAAATTAGGTAATTACTGTTCATGTTGTGATTGATTGATGATCATATCAATCAATTCATCATGCATGCAGCAATTAATTATTTACAAAACAGCCAAGAGAATTGAAATAAAATAAAAGAGTGTATGTACTGTATGTACACACGTAGTGCTCTCTCCCCCAGTTCCAGGTTCCAGGTTCCCTAATTGTTTATGGAAATTATGGAAATTATTCCACCCCCCGTACCCTGCAAAGTTACCACTGCAGGAGAAGAAGAAGGAGGTAGTTATGTATGTACTGTACTGTACTGTACGTGGAAGATCAAGAAGGTGTCTGTCTCGTTGTCTGTCTATCTTGTCTGTCTGTCTGGGGATATACAGATATACAGATATACAATACTGTATCTCTTGTTTTATCTTTTTTTTTCTTTATTTATTTATTATTTTATTCTCTGTGATGATATATCCATCCTATCCTGTCCTGCCCGTCCTATACTGTCCTGTCCTGTCCTTTGTCCACAGCCTGCATGCAGCCCGCTTGCTCTTTGGTTAGGTAGACTAGACTGGAGACGAGGGTTATGTTGTTTCTTGTATTAGTAATCCCACCCCTGGTAAGGTTGTTTGTTTGTACTAGGTACATAAGCATGGATATCCATCCATCCATGGATATTAATCATATTATTAATGCCTGCTGTACTACCCACCATTGGCACCATACTAACTACCTGGTACCTAGCTTGTCGGGTGGAGCCTCAGATAAGGTTATATCAACTACTCTATTCCGTACTCCCTGCCATGGATGATGTCCATACATAAGGAATAATATGTATACATTATCTTCTAACTATTAGTATTTCAGACAAGATTCAGACAGCAGATCATGCTAATTACAACCCATTCCCGTTCAGATAGTCATCCGGCACTACCGGCCACTTGTCAATCCCGTCCAGCAATGCCAGCGCCATCCCCCCATCTAGATGCACCTGGATGTGGCAGTGCAGCAGGAACGCCCCCGGATTCACCACCTGATACCGCACCGCCAGCCAGCTCTCGCCGTCCAGCGACGCCGGCGTCGAGTATGTGTCCCGGATCGGCGGGTTGACCAGGTTGAAGTTCTGCGGGATATGGCGCATCGCCTCCTCCACCGACGAGTAGTTCCACGGGCCAACCCCCGCCCCGATCACAAAAAACTTGGTCGAGTGCTTGTGGAACGGATGCGTCGGCTGCAGCGGCTTCACCGCGTGGAAGATTATGTCCACCCACGACCCGTTCTGCGTCCGCACGGTCAGGTCGCTGTGTGGCCCCTGCGCGTTCGGATCGAACAGCAGCGGCTTGTCGTACTGCAGCGACAGCGGAAAACTGTCATTCCCCAGATACCACCGATACGACGCGTTCCACCGGTTGAGTCGCAGCACATACGTCTCGTTGGCAAAAGGCGCCGGTGCTACAGGCGGGAACGGCACCGCCAGCGACTCATTCCAGAAGGTCGTGTTCGCCGTCGCGTTGAGTCCGTTGAGGGTGATTGACGGCGCCGATGGAGCCCACGTGCCCGGCGGCTCCGGCGAGTTCGCATACGACAGGATCGCCGTCGCGTTCAGCAGCTGGTTGAGTCCGGTCACGACCGTCCGCACGTTGTAGTTCGCCGGAGGCTTGTCCAGCTTCACCAGAATCGAGAATCGTTGCCCGTTGCTGATGGTGAGCGCATCCACCCGCGTGGGCGTGACGTATCGGCCGTCGACCGCGTACACCCACATGGGATGCTCGTCGATGGAGAAGACAAAGGTCGACACGCCCGCCGCCGAGATCAGCTCCCAACTCACGTACTCAACCTCCGGATTGACCTCCAACACTTCCGTCGGCCCTTGGGAGGGCTTGCAACCCCAGAAGACACCCGGGGGCACAGCACTGAAATTATGCGGGTAAGGCCCTTGGGCAAGGGACAAGGTCGGGGGAATACACCTGACGGCATTCAGCATTTAATTAGTCGAGAAGCGCAGTTCAAACCTACCCCATGTCCGTCAAGTGGGTGCTGCCATTGAGCAGCTGGATCACAGCTGGATTCGCGTTCGCGTCAATGACGGCCTGCGGCAGACAGGTGACGGACCCCTGGCCGTTGATGAGGATGGAGTTGGTGCAGTACGCGTCGAGACCGGCGGCCTCTTCGATGTTCCATGTCTCGTTCGAGGTGTGATGGGTCCAGTCGGAGAGGATGATGGGCTTCGTCTGCAGTTCAGCGGTCTGGATGGCCTCGAGCTCGTGCGAGTCGTTGGTGATGAGGTGAAACGGTCTTGGAACGTGGGGACTCGGGCGAATAATGATGGCTCCGTACAGGCCGTCATTGATCTGGCCGCTCTTGTGGGCATGGTAGAAGTAGCTGCCGTACTGCGTGGCCTTCCACTTGTAGAGAAAGCTGTCTCCAGGCTGAATTGGCCGTTGCGAGAGTCCGGGAACGCCGTCGGACCAGGGCGTGTCGAGCTGTTCAATGCCTGTCTTCATCCTCAGGATTCCCCCCCTTTCACTTCACACACCGCTCGACGACATACCGTGAAAATGCACCGCCGTCGAGAAAGGCAGCTCATTGTGGACCAGGAACTCGACCTCGTCGCCCTGGTCCAGGTAGAGCGGTGGACCGGGCAGCTGGCCGTTGGACAGGATGGCCTTCCTGGGGACGCCGTCCGGGGCGACAGTGTCCCAGGTCAGGGTGATTTCGAAGGGCACGACCGCCGCCTGGCACCATGCCAGCAGGCTGAGAAGCAGCGACAGGCGCATCATCACCGTGGCCATGGTGGTTGTCGACATGGTTGACAGGAGATGCAGCGACATGTGACTGAGAGGGCTGTTCTGCCACGTTCAAGTATAAATAAATATGGACTGCCAGCAAGGGGCTTGGCTAGACGGCAATCGTGCCTGCCGAGTTGCCCGATATCGGGCAGAAGGCTCAAAGTCTAGCACTGACTGCACAGCATCGCGTCGAGTCGAGATCAGGCAGATCGAGGCCAACGCGCTAGCCTGATCTCGATGTCGATCGAGCAGTGGCCCTAGCAACGCAAGGGAGCCATTAGGCACGGCGATCCCTGTTGTTAGTATCCACAATGTAACTATTTCCCAGCTCAGGCGTCCCACTTGGAGCGCGCCATAGCCTCGTCCCCAAGTGGGGGCCTTTTTGTTACTAAACCGGGCGCTGTGATTGCGAAGAGACCAGACTATTAATTAATATGGAGAATTATCCCCAGCAGATCTCCAGTAGATGGCCATCTAGATGACTTGGCGGTGACTTGGCGATCTACGTGTGGGTATGCCGTGACCAGCTTCTCAGAGCTGATCCATGATCTATCTGTAGCTAGGCTTTTGGGGGGATCCACAGAAATGAAAAGGGAGCAAAAATAGTATTACTGTAAATGGATGGCTTATATTAGTTGATTTATTGGATTGACTGAAAAGACTACGCTAACGATAAAATAAAATAATACTCCTGCTACTGCTATTGTAAACAAAAGAAAATAATTTTAATCCATTGTTCATCACGTCAACGTCAATCATTTCCCTCGTTATATATATCGTATTATTCCGCGGAGAATTATTTTTTTCTTCGTCAAGGCTGCGTCGTAAACAATCTGATGAGTAGGAGAATAGAATCATGAACGTAAGTCATCTCAGCTGCGTTGCTGGTATTTACGTTAAACGCCATTGGTCGTGTGGCTTCGTCTCGTCGTGAATACCCCGAAGTAAATGAAATCAGGGATGTCGAATGGCAGGGTTGGATTCGCCTTCAACTAGCTTCGACAGTGGCATCAGGAACAACCTGCTCCTCTGGTCCCGGTTCGACGGCAACCGAACTGACGCGTGCGAGAGGCGTCTGCTTCCTGTCAGCGTCCTTCGCACGGACGTCCACAATGGCTGGCTCAGCTCTAGCCTCTGGGACATGGACCACTGGAGTCGCAGTGGCTGCCTGCCCCAGACTGTACGAGCTGCTGGTGCTTGCGGAGCAATACTGCGTCGCCGTCACTGCTGCAGGAGTCTCGATGACCTCCGCAATCTCAGGCGGCAGGGACGTCAACGACGGCGACGGCCGCGCTCCGCCTGCCATGGCAAGGAACAGGACAAGAACGCTTAGCAACGCAATCGCAACGTTGCGCTTGTCGCTTGCCAAGACGCGAATGTAGTTGATGAGCAGGGTCTGCAGCTCGATATCATTGGCCGTTTTCCGCTCATATGCAAACGACCCCGACGAGCCGAATTCTGGCCGTGCTTCCGCATTCGATGCAGCGAAATTCCGCTGCTCAGACGGGAGCGCGTCGTCAAGGCCGTCGATTTGCTCTTGAGAGGGCTGTGGTCGGTCCTCATCAAGGCTTCCCTTTCCAGCCTTCGCTGCCTTGAGATCTCCATCCAGAGTGATGGCTTCCTCCTCGAGAATCCTCTTTTCCAGCTCGCTTCGCACGCTGGACGGCAGCCACAGTCCGACTTCCACGTCCACCTTTTCCATCTCCCTCCAAGCGGCGGCCCAGGCACCTGCCTTCATCAACCCATTGGCGGCATACACCTTGATCTCCCATTTTCTGCTGGTGTCCTCATTTCTGATCACTCTGCATCCGCAGTCGGGACACTCCTCTCCCTCCTCGTCATCCGAACCATTATCGTAGCCATCGTCGCCGTCCTCTTTCCCGGAGTCCGGCTCATCACGCCCTAAGAAATGGCCATTCTGTAGCCGCGGCCGCTGGAGCTCAAGGCTCTCGAGGAGCCGTTCCTCCAGGAGATCGTACATCTCCTGCGGGTGCGAAATCAAGACACCACGGTCCCGGAGGACCCCCGACCCGAGCTTTTCCTCTAGCAGCCTCCACCGTTTCAAGTACCGCGGAGGCAGGACTTCTTCGAGGATCTTTCGACTGGGAATGCCGATTCCCGGCGGGAGGGAGAGTGTCGGCGGCAGCAGGTTGCAATGCAGCAGGACAAGCGGATATTCCTTCTTCACGGCCTGTTTCTTCGGGGTGCCATTATTATTGGCAGAGTAGTAGTAGCCCGGCCGCCCCCCGCCGCCGCCGCCTCGCAGTCTGGACGGAGAGACAAAGTCCTCGTCTTCATCCTCTGTATGCATCTGCATCGCTCTCACCGAGCTAGGCTTACGGAAAGGGCCGCCCCTTATCTTAGTCGCATGTCTCATCGATCCCCCAGTTTTTGGGATTGTCGTTTCTTTCCTGTAGATTGTATTTGTATCCGTCGTCCTCGTGCAAATTCGTCTTCGATTTGTCGTCCATCGCATGGACGACGACCGACCCGGGGATGGAGGAGATGGACGACCGGCTCGACGTTGTCGAACGGAGGTGGTCCAATCCATCGGCATCTAGGACATCGTCGAAGATGTTGGAGGAAGACGACGAACTGTAGCCGAAGTCCTGCGCGCTGGTTCTTCTCTGATCCGCAGTGTCCAGCACATCGGGAGGGATCTCTGCCGTTGCGAATGCGGATGGGGAGGAGAGCTCTCTCTCCGTGTCGGTCCCGTCCAGTAGTTCAGTCGTTGCCTGCGTGTCCGACAGCTGGTGCTGGCTGTGGGACAGTTCCTCCATCTGCTCGATACAAACCTGCGATTTCAGTATCCGGCTTTCGACTTGATCTCGGTCACGATGCTGACTGACTGAGTGGCTGCACGCTCCCGGACTGTGTTCCCTAAACACTAGGAATCAATCAATTCCACCAATTTTACCGGATTGAAAACGAGGACCGTCAACGAGGAGGGAAAGCAATATCAAGCCTCCAATAAATATATCAGCACATGCTACAGAGTATATAGCAATTCATTCAATTCATTCAAAAAAGAAAAAAAATAATCGACCTCCCACGAAGAAAATCGACGATGAGGCTGATAAAATCATCAATGAATAAGTCTTAGTCGACGTTGGGTTTCGTGATAAGCAGCAATCCTGTGCTGGGGGTGTTTACTCCGCCTTTGTTGTGCAGGGCAACCAACCGTGGCGTTTGCGTCATCCAATCCAATCACAATAATCACGCCCCTCGAGTTCTTAGTTCAGGTCACCGCCAGCATTGATCGATCGATCATGCATCAAATATGGAGAACATACGTATGGAGCAAGCAGGTAATAATATTTTTCTGCATTAGCAGTAATCAGTGGGCTTGTTTAGATGGTGTCAATGTCAATCCTAGTCACTACCTAGGTTGAAGCGTATCCACATTCCAAGGTGGACGGCGGCTGATACCGTGGATATCTCCAGTCGACCGTAAGGTTGTGGTTCTAGATGCTGAACCCCGGTTCGACTAATACAATCCTCTGTTAGATACAATTTCCAGCCTACCTCGTGAAAACCAATGGACAGTTCGAGACACGAGAATACAGTCAAAGATTGACACAAAGGAAATGCTCTATAGACTATCATGATCTACAAAAACATCACAAAAGGAAAGCTCAGGCTATACGTTTGTTGCGCCATCCCAATCCCGTGTCCATGGAGAGGGAAAAAATAAATCGCGCCTTCCCCCCAAACCCGAGAACGGAGATGACATCAAATCCCCAGATGCAGCAATCTAAAATAGTACATGCCGCCGCCGCAGACAAAAAAAAAGGCCAATTTCTCTGACAAAGTCTATGGTATCTCTATACAAGAGATCTGACTTGCTCTTGTCGAAGTGGTTCTCGTTGGTCTATATTATAAGATCCGAGTCTTGTCTATAGATCCGAGTCTTGTCTATGTCGGTTCGAGGTCTATGACTGGGTAGCTGCAAGCGTTTATTTGGCGATCTCGACACCGCCAGTGGCGCCCAGGATGCGCTTGATGTCTGTGATCCAGTTAATTCTCGCTCCCCGAAAAATCATCAAATACAGCCAAGCTTACCTCCGTAGATGGCGAATTGACCAGCAGTCAGAGTACCAACCTAGCACACAAGTTAGCAAGTTACAAACAGAATTGCCATGTCCGGATCCTAACGTACCATGAAGAGACGAGCACCAATACCAGCATAGCTGCCACGGAAACCAAGATCCTTGCCGATCTTGATCAGACGAGAGACAGTGCTCTCACCAGGCTGACCCTTGGTCTTGTTGATCACGCTCAGCATGGTGTCGGCGGGCTGAGAAACAATGGCAGCAGCGAAACCAGCAACGAGACCAGATCCCAGGTTGATACCGGTCTTGGCACCATCGGAGACGGAGTTCTTGTCAACGACACGGTAGACAGCCTCGACAGCCTTCTCGTAGACGACGAACTTGGCCATGGTGTACGGAACCCTACAAGAATGGCATTTAGATGACTGCGTGCAGAAACAACCGAGCCCAAAGCAGGAGAGTGCTTACTGCTTGAACAGGATAGGACCGAAACCAGAGTAGAAGGCGCCAACACCCTCGTTCTTCAGGATCTTGGTGAAACCGCCCAGAAGACCGTTGGCGAAAGTGGGCTCAGACACGAGACGGATACGGGTAGCCTCCAGAGGGCAGAGAGCAATGTCGGCGAAGAACTCGGCCAGAGCGGACGAGGCCAGGTAGACGGCAGTGCGGTTGTTGGAGGCGGTCTCGTAGCCAAGCTGGTTGATGAACTGCTGCTTGAAGAACTCGTAACCACCAAACTTGAAGGCGCCCTGGAGGAAGTAACCGGCAGCGGTAGGACCAAAACCGGTCAGCAGAGCGGCAGGACCCTCATTCTGAATCACCTGGCGGAAACCGCCGAACAGGCCACGGTTGTAGGTAGCCGGGTCAAGCTGGATACGGGTCTTGACGCTGGAGACGGGAGAAAAATCGTTAGCAACATCGATCATCACGAGATGGATGTAATGTTCTTTTCAATGAAAGGAACAATGGCACCAGTAATTGGTGCCCACAGCGGTCGCACGAATCGATCAAGTGCAGGGCAATTGCCGTTGACGACCACGAAGAGGACGATCGCAGCACTTACACATCGACAGGAGTAAGGGCTCCGTGGGTGACGGAGCAGCAGACAGCACCAGCGAAGGCGAATCTGGCGTAGAGGGGGAAGCCACTGAGCTTCTTCTCCTGAGCGGGAGCGTCGACCTTGGCAGCCATTCTGAATGAGCTAGGACCTGAGAGATAAAAGGAAAAAATAAAGGGAAGGGAGGAGGAGTGGAGTGGATCAGAAAAAGACAGAAAATCTGGGGAGAGAGGAAGCAGAGATCGATGAAGAGAAGGGATAGAGAGGATTAATTCGACGGCGAGAAGGACGACAAGTTTTGACCCGAAAACTTTTCGCGGGCCAATCGGCGCGGGCGGTACGGGGGCGGCCGGGAGCACGGGAGCCCGAGCGATTAGCAGGAGATAATAATAAGAATCAGCAATCCCCCTGCGCCACAAATGCCGTACTCCGTAAACTCCGAGCTGGCTGCTGTGGGCACATGTCCCTGTGCGCTGCTCTCATACGGTGTTCCTGGCTGCCAGCTATGCCCGGAATAATGCCTGCCAGCGATGTGACCCTTCTGTCCTCTTCCTCACGTCACCCGTCTCTCCCGTCACACCATCCGCCCAGACACCGCAGCCCAACATCATCGAATTCTGCAAGCATGATGGCTGCCGTTTGAGTAGTCTCAATTCATTCCCCATGCTGCAACAGCTGAGTTTTGTTTGATGATTAGGTTGACACTGGCAGATCGAGCCATCACAGACCTGAAGCAGAATGAGCCAACACCAACGCCAATTGTCCTGCAGATTCCTCAGATGCCACAAGACAAAAAAAGAAAGAAAAAGAAAAGAAAAGAAAAGAAAAGAACAACGTGATGGATCGATAGAATCCTAGTTGGGTTCTGCGTATAATCTTATCTCCAATCTTCTAGAAGACATCTCCGAAGTTTTCGATCAGTTCGAGTTCGACTGCCAGAAACACCATCGCAAGACGAAGACGAGATTCGCAATCTGTCGACTGTCGACTGCTTGAGCTTCGACTGCATTGTTTTTATATATGGGGGATAGGATACTGTCATAGAGAGCAGCCATAGCGTTGCGACGATGGATCTGCAGAGATAATTGAAGCGGACCTCGCGCAGCTCAGTGACCCTTACTCAGCGACGTAATCTCGACGTCGCAGTCAGTTACTACCCGGACATCATCTGTTCTTCGATATAGTTTTTTTCCGAAACCTTACATCGCGTCCACAGAATACAGCGCTGGAATGAGCTGTCTAAGTGGCCAAACCTACAGAGGCAAGGGCGCATTGAGTAGAATTGTAGACCTTTCCAAGTAAATGAACCTGTTTACTGCGTAAATGGCAGCCTCATCAAAGTGTGGCGTCCTGCAGATGCGACCTCAACGCTGCCAACGCTGCATCGTGGCGAACCAATAACCCGGTGACCCAAGAATAGCATCCGCGCGGCTTTCAGCGGCGCCCCAGACACGTATTCTCTCCGTCCTCTCTTCTCGACTCAGGCCCAATGGGCGAAAACGCAGGTCCAGAGATACGTGTGCCAGTCTTAATCTGCGCTATTCTTCATCCCCTGACTGCCCACTGGACCACCCTGCAAAGTTTCATGTTAGGCCCCTTGCACTGACTGATCGACGATCAGATCCATGTCCTTGGCAACTACTGTAGTGGGGACTGGGACGGTGCTGGAATGAGCTGGATTCTGGATAACGATTGCTCCTTTCTAGCTGTCTGCTTGTTGACTTTTATCTGTCTCAAATCGACAATAAAAATAAACTAGAGTGGGGCTCCGGGGCGATACTAGCGTGGTGCCAAATTGAAGACAGATATATATATATAGATGTCCCCCTCGAGCCCAGGACACGATGTTTCTGTCAGTTTTGCTCGCGTCGCTGGTGGCGTTTGCCGTTGCGTGGATCTTTGCATTCGACAGGAAGATGGAGTCGTTCTTTTGCTGGGGCGCGCGGAGGAAGAAGCAGCCGAATTGGAAGAAGATCGAAGGTCTGTTAACGCGAATCAATTCGTCCAGGTCACGTTATTCGTTCAAGACAGCGACGCCCTCACAGACAGGCCTTTCTGACGCACTTCTGGCTGACTGCGCATAGAGGACGCGGAGGCTCTCGAGCAATTGCCGTCATGGAATGCTCCAGATAATGTTCTCATGCTGGAAGCGTTTGAATGGTATGTGCCGGATGACAGGAGACACTGGCATCGTCTTCAGCAGGCACTGCCAGATCTCAAAGAGATCGGCGTCGACAATATCTTGCTCCCGCCTGGCTGCAAGGCCATGAACCCGTCCGGGAACGGCTATGACATCTACGATCTCTACGATCTTGGCGAGTTCGGTCAGAAGGGAACTGTCGCAACCAAATGGGGCTCGAGAGGCGACCTGGAGCGTCTGACCAGTACCGCTCGCCAGCTAGGCATCGGCGTCTACTGGGATGCTGTGCTCAATCATAAGGCTGGTGCAGACCGCACGGAACGCTTCCGTGCGGTGAAAGTCGAACCCCAAGGCAGGTGCCAGAAGTTTCAGGACCGTGATGGCCAGTCTTTTTTCGGCTTACTAACCGGAACTCGTCAATGCAGATCGCAATATTGAAATCACCCAACCTCAGGAGATCGAGGCATGGGTTGGCTTTGATTTTCCCGGACGCGGGAACAAGTACAGCTCGATGAAGTATCACTGGCACCATTTCAGCGGGACTGACTACAACGAAATCGACAAGCAGAATGCAATTTACAAGGTCGTGGGCCCAAACAAGGGCTGGGCCAAAGATGTCAGCCAGGAGAACGGCAACTATGACTATCTCATGTTCGCAGACCTGGACTACTCGAACCCGGAGGTCCAGCAGGATGTGCTGAAATGGACCGAATGGATCGGCACGCAGCTGCCTCTCAGCGGGATCAGACTCGATGCCGTCAAGCATTACTCTGCCGCATTCCAGAAGACCCTGGTCGACCATGCGCGGCGGACGGTTGGGGCCAACTGGTTTATCGTGGCAGAGTATTGGTCCGGGAATTATCGCGAGCTGCTGAAATACCTGGAGAAGATGGACCACAGTGTGTGGTTATTCGATGCGCCTCTGGTCAATCGCTTGTCTGCGATTTCTCAGACCGAGGGGGCTGATTTACGGTTAGTATTTGAGGGGACTTTGGTGAAATACAAACCGCAACATGCAGTGGTTCGTCCTTCCCCCCAGCCGTATGATAGATGTCAGAATGCTGACTTTGTCTCAGACCTTTGTCATGAACCATGATACCGTAAGTTTTAGCACATATTATATTCTGGACGTCAACTAACCAGACTTCAGCAACCATCGCAAGCTCTCGAGGTGAGTCTCAGTGAGGTTTGTTCAAGTTCGTCCCGGCTCACAGCTGCAGGCTCCAATCGCATCATACTTCAAACCCCTCGCATACGCTTTGATCCTCCTCCGCAGCCAGGGCTATCCGTGCGTGTTCTACGGCGATCTGTACGGCATCGTGGGCGGAGTCAAGCATCCACTTCCGCCGTCGTGCGACGGAAAATTGCCAGTCCTGACACTGGCACGAAAGCTGTACGCCTACGGCGAACAGCAGGACTACTTTGATCGACGAAACTGCATCGGTAGGCAGATATTGGATATACTGACCCCTTTGAAATCTCTATTCATCGGATCTCTAATTTCGGATCCGCAGGCTGGGTCCGCTACGGCAACGCCCGCCACCCGTCAGGCCTGGCATGCGTCCTCAGCAACGGGCCGGCGGCAACGAAACGCATGTTTGTCGGCAAGAGCCATGCGGGCGAGCAGTGGACGGACCTGCTGGGCTGGTGCAGCGAGACGGTCACGATCGACGAGCGCGGGTACGGCGAGTTCCCCGTGTTGGCGAAGAGTGTCAGTGTGTGGGTGAACGCGGCGGCGGAAGGGAGGGATCGATTTAGGGAGTTGTACGTGTCTGCATCTTATGATGATGATGATGATGATGATTGTTTTGTGCTGACTAGTTCTTGCAACAGTAACGCCGATATATACTCTTATTGATTGTGTCGAACGAATTCTGGTCTTGTGTTTTTTTTTTGTATTACGATACCACTCTGTTACCTGTATAGAAAGAAATTCTTATTCTCGATAAAAGTAAAATTTTGAAAGTGAAACAATAAAAAATAGACTCGTACATACCTTCCTCAAAGTAGAGACCCCCAAGATGATTGTTATTCATGATTCATGTGAATTGCAATCCAGCCTGGCTATTAGCTGTACTCTGTACACAGGCCAACCCGTCACGTCAATGCAATGCGGTGAACAGGCGGAATGATCTCTGATTGGCCTAGATATGTATCCCGATGTATCCCGAGTGCAGAGTACAGACTGCAGACTGCATCTGCATGCAGGCTTGAATTGATCAAGCATGTAGTCATTTTCATCATGGCCATGCACCCTGTGTCCTATTCTATTGTGGCAGTTAGTTACAAGTATGGATGGACATCGTCGATACTCGGCATATCGGTGATTTTCTTCGACTTTTCTCTTCTTTTTTTTCTTCTCTCTCTCTTTCCTCTTGAATCTGAAACGGAACCTTAGTTGATTTCTCTTGTTTCTTAGAAAGTATTCCGATTGGCCACCTACGCGACGGACCAATCTCCGCATGCGACTCGGGAACTAAGACCGAGTAAGCTCTAGCCGAGGGGCCGCCTTATCGGACTTCTTTGCGAGCGCC